TCAATAACCTAACCAATTTTGTTTACCTTATGATTAATAAATCTTTTAAATATATATGTTCTGAAACTTTTTATTATATAGGTATCTGAATAATAATAAAATCCAGATAAGCCAAATATTCAAGTAGGAAGATATTTTGTTAATATTATTTATTTCATTGGAATCCATGCAATTTCAAAATTCAACAGCCTAATCTTGTTTATTCAGACATAAATCACTCTTAAGTGAAACTGATTCCTCAATAACACTTTTAAGATTGTGACTTGAGAAAAAAGAGGGCACTGAAAAATATTAATCTGCACACTAAATATAAAAGTTCTCTCAATGAAGGAAGCAACATTTAGTTATTTAGTATATTTCAGTTGCAATTTAGCTTACACATTTGTCCATCTTTCTATCAACATATACTTCAGAAATTGTAGTTATATAATTTCACATAAGGTACAAGCATTTCTGAAAATCTAACTCATCGTGCTGCCATTTTCAACTGGAGAATGGCAGCAACAGGTCCTCTCCCAAATAAAAATGCAACAAGTTTAGAAAACTAAGTAGCTTTTGAAAAGATCAGTGAGAAAAATCTCAATTATACTGCTTTTCTTGGGGCTGCAGTTAAGTCATAGCTTGACCTACAAGGAAACATTGTCGTCAGACTGAAGCAAGCCCAGACTTTCTTCCCAACACGAGCTCTACAGGCCACAATATTAGTAAATTCCATTCCAGCACTTACCACTGATATACTACTTTGTCCCAATGCCCATAAATAACCACATTAATCATTTATAACAAGACTCTGAGATATTTATTAAGCCTGTTGGATACAATAAATGTATTTCATTTGCCTTTTCTGGCCTTGATTTTCCTCAGATAGAATTCTAGTTCCTTGCCTTCCAGAATGTAGCCATCTGCTCGGCCACATTGTCCAGGTCTGGAGGCAATGCAAGCTGAAAAGGGAAAATACAAAATTAAAGGAAAATGTGTCAATTAAGACACTTCTTTAAATGCAAAACTTTTCTTACTTTAACTCCATATTAACACAACTATGCTCATCTTCTCACAAAGTGTGGGCCTTTAAAAATTTAACGGCCTTCCCAGTTGCCTTCAGAACTTGAAATGTCACCACTCACATTCAGCAGCAGAACTGGACAAAGTTTTCATCACAAGGTCAACTTCAAATCCCTGGTCAATTATGCAGGATAACATGGTAATCCCCTAACACGTGAATTTCTGGTTCTAACTTGTATAAAGTAGCAAGAACTAGGAAAAGGCTCTAACCATTGTCAAGCTAAATATTATACCAAGAGTTGAAACAAGTACATCCTGCCCTAGAATAAAGCTGTGACTTTTGTCAACTCTGAGTATAGACTGCCATCATCACATAAGTTATCAAAATAGTACATCTGCTTAAAATCTTCTGCTGTGTCTAGCAAGCTCAGTTTTTTTTTTATTTTTAACATCTTACCAAGTAGCTTTCCTTGTTGGAACTGCTCCTCCAGGAGGCTACTGATCTTGGCATTCTTTTTCCGCTCATCATACTTCTTTTGGATTTTCTTTGAACGTTTTTTATTTAAAATTTCTTCCTCCTCAGGGGTCTGAAGCAAAAGCAGAAGGTTTGTTATTTCCCATAATTCCACAAATATCTGAAACATTCAGTACATTTTGGGGTTGGTAAAACATTGCGCAAATTGGTGTAAACTGTTCTGCACATAAAAACTTGTCCTGTGCCTAGACCAAAACATGCTATGTGTGTATGTGGGAGGGAAAAGAAGCCACTGGGAAGACTAAAGTGGGAGAGGACATCTTATCTGGTTGGACATACTGCAAAGTCAGATTAGCTTTGGTCACTGCCAATTTCCACAGCTTCAACAGCAGTTTATTCAACCAGCCTATCACCCCCATTTTCCAAACATCATTTCCCCCCCACTCTACTTCCCCATATCCACCAATGTCCACTTCCTTGTAGTCAGAAAGAATTGGAAATACAAAAGCGCCAATTAAATGTGCAGTGTGTAAACAAACTGATAGTGGCAGTCAAGGGAAGGCACTAGGAATTTACAAACATGTACACACATAGGCCAACTTAGAAGAGCTATAGATGTGAGGTGCACAGGTCTTATCCTGCTCATCCTGTTAAACTTCTCCAGATTTTGTTTTAGCAAATACCCAGGACAATAAAAATGCTTTGGGTTTTGCCAAATTTCAGCCTATCCAAGGTGGTTTGGCAGGATTACTGAAGCAAACTATTTGGGTATTGTGCATTCTTCTAATACAATCTTACACAGCATGACCGGTGTGCTGGTCTCTTTGCTACTTTGCTACTCTTTGCTACTTTAAAACAATTTCCAAATAAATTGAGATTTGAGCACTGATGGGATAACAGTCTATAAGCATTTTTCAACTTGGAGCCCACAAACAATCATTTATAGAATCCTTTTATTCAAAACATTTGCCTGCATACTTCAGCACTAAGATGCTCTAAATTGGAAAGGGACCCTACACAGCTTGGTCTCATGTCTCCTTCAGATAAGTAGATATGCCATCATTCTCTTTCAGCAGCAGAACTGGTTAATAGTATCATCATCAGAAGACAAATGTATTTTTAAACCTCTGCATACTATGTTACCTACCAGCTTGGCACCCTTTTTGCGCCCAAGGGGCAAGGCATAGTGGGCTTCATACCAGTGTCGGTATGGTGTGCTGTCAATGAGGACAATGCAGTTTTTGACCAGGGTCTTTGTGCGCACCAACTCATTATTGGATGCATTGTAGACTACATCAATTATTCTGGTTTTGCGGGTACAGCCTGTAAAAAAAGGGATTTATCTTTCAAGAATTTAAAAAACAACAACTGAATGCTATAAGAATCTTGCGAGTACATAAAAATAGGCCTTCACACACTGCAGGATCTGTATACATTCTTTTTTATAAATGTAGCCAATTTTGACTTTCTATTTCCAAGATCAACCCATTTGAAAGAATAAAGAAGAGAATTTAAAGAAGAGAATGTACAAACTATAAAGTATGCGACTCCGCAAACTAGGATGACTGGAAAATATGAATGTATTTGCAAAGAGCACGCTAACCCTGCAACACAAGCGTGCCTCCTTTACACATATGTGCAGCATCGCTTATGATGCAAAAAGGGTCGAGCTTGTATCACAATAGTGATTCCCCGTGAATATTTCTGCAAAATATCATAATTAGTCCTCTGATTAGAAAATACAAAAATAGACTTGTTTATCTTGCTACCTTCAGCAGCTCCAATAAAGTCCTCGTAACCAAGCTCAATAACAAATATGAAATAGTAAATACAGAAACTACATTGGTGTATTAACCTCACCGACCAAACGAACACCAGGATTATGAATTGACCAGTTAGGTACATCTGAATAGGAAAAAAGCTACTCTTAAGCAAACCTGCAACCCCTCCCTCCCCCAAATACTAGTGGGGTAGCAAACTAAACATGCAAGCAAAGGTTCAAATTTATTGCATGGCTATTTTTTATACTTATGCCATCTACAACATTCTTGCCTCTTCATCACTGAATAACAGCTTTTAAACCCATGCTGAGGTCTTGTTTAAAGTTAGCTAATATTTTTCATTTTTTCTATCTCAACCCCTGAGTTTTTACCAGACTTGAACAATACCTTTCAAGTTTATGTAAAGGATCCGTCTCCCCTTTAGCATCCTTATAGCAACAATGCACACATACTCAGGGTAACTATGACACTCTTATCACTGAGAGCTCGGAATTCACCAAAGATCTCTTAAGGTCAAAGTTATCATCACAGTTTTCTTATTTGTGCTTCTAGATCACTAACAACAACACCCCCCACTTAAAAAAAATACTCTGCAGAACATCTACTTACATTCAGATCCCCAAGAGAAGTTTCCAACATCCAAACGCAGAGCACGGTATTTTTTATTGCCACCACGAACTCTGACTGTGTGAATTCTTCTGGGGCCAATCTACAACAAAGTACCATGGGTTTGTTCAAACACAGCAATTCATGGAACTAAAATCTTGCCTCAAATGCCCATCCTACATGGCAACATGGTCAGTGTAACTATGACGACCCCTAGCATTGGTGACTGTGATGAAGACCAGAACAGTCTACACGCTCACCTAAGGTGTACTTCTCATCACTCCAGTTGCCTCCACATCAGAGGAACAGTATCTCCAAACTAAAGCACTATTCAAGTTAACTCTGGGTTGGAGTTTACTTCAAATCTTTTAAGGATTACAATAATTTCAAATTAATTAATTAATATGGTGCCCCAGTAAGCATTCCCCCACACATATGCAACACTTGGGTATACCTAAAGTAGCTCATATCTATTTCATACATCAACATCATTGCTAACTACATATAAAAATGGTATTGCAATTCAATTTAGAGGCACGCTAATAACAGCTCTTAAAAACATGTGTGCATAACCCATACTATTGTTATATCAGCGAGAAAGTTTTGTTACAGATAAGCTATATCATGTAAAAAAAAAACTCATTTATCCTTTACCTGAACATTATTTTGCAATTAGTTATATCTGCTATGAATACAGTATTCTGGGTTAGTCAAGAACAAAGGACACTTGAATTACAAGTTCCCATTTCTTCCTTCTGCCTGCAAAGAGGTTTTCTCAGTTGGCCTACAGCAGGGGTCCACCCCTGGCCAACAGCAAACCCCATTATTCAGGAAACATGCACCCCTTAAAATACTTCACTCCTACCAATAGTAGTCTGAACTCTTCCCACACATTTCCCCTCTAAGCAATTCGGCGCACATACTTTTGTGTTGGCAGGAGGTCGCCCCAACTCATACTTTCTTTTCTTGTGGTAGGGCTTCCGCTTTCCCCCGGTCTTGCGGCGTTTGTGCCAATTATCCCTGGAGATTCCTGCGTAAAAGAGAAAAAATAATCAAGCGGAATAGGAATGCATTAAGGGTGGTGGTCATTGAAGTTGTCCCTCTACTACGGCTTGCAGGCGTTCCTTCTGCCCAGGGTTACTCAGTTCTCCAAGGTAAGTCTCCGCATGGCACACTCGGCCTTAATGCAGCAGTGGAAAAAGTTTTATCATTGCAACGGCGGGCAAAGGGAGAAAAAACAAAACAAAACAAAAAAAAGGCGAGGAAACACTTTCGCTCCATGAAGGTCCTTTTAAGAGGTGGCTATCCTGCGGCAACACGCAGCAAAGGCCGAAGAGGCGTCCGGATCCCAAAACAGGCCGAATCGCAATCGCTTACACAAAACTAACCAGAATATCACGCGCATTTCAACGGGCTAAACATCCTTCTCCCCGTTACCCGACCGGGATCTCCGCGGGGATGTCTAGCGGGGCGGATGCGGGCGGATGAAACCACGGCGTCCCTCTCCCTCTAACAACTCACCCATCCTGCTCCGAGGCGCCGATTGCAAAAAGAAGGACGCAAAGCATTTCGGGACGGTTTGTTCCACGGGAAATCTCGCGGCAAAAGACGCTCGTCTCAGCCGACGCGCAGCATCGCGTCATCAAAGTGGGACATGGAAACAGGTGGAAGGAGGGTTGGTTGGTGGACGTTCGTCAGCGTCCCCGGGCTGGACGGTTTCTTTATGGTTTGTGTGAGAAGAAGCTAGTGAGGTGTACATTGCTCAACACAGGGACTGCCAGTTTTATTTATTTTTGATTTGATTTGATTTGCCAATTGTTTACAAGATAATAAGTATAAATGTATACATAGTTGTGAATACATGAAATGGGTACATATAAGAAAAATAAAAGAATAGGAGAAACAATAGGACAGGGACGGTAGGCACGTTGGTGCGCTTATGCACGCCCCCTACAGACCTCTTAGGAAAGGGGTGAGGTCAATAGTAGACAGTCTAAGGTTAAAGTTTTTGGGGTTTGGGGAAGAAACTACAGAGTCGGGTAGAGTATTCCAGACATTGACCACTCTATTGCTGAAGTCGTATTTCCTGCAATCAAGTTTGGTGCGGTTTACTTTGAGTTTGTATCTATTGTGTGCTCTTGTGTTGTTATGGTTGAAGCTGAAGTATTCATTGACAGGTAGGACATTGCAATGTATGATTTTATATACCATGCTTAAGTCAGACCGAAGACGGCGTAATTCAAGGTTTTCAAGTTCTAGAATTTCAAGTCTGGTGGCATAAGGTATTCTACAACGAGTAGAGGAATGGAGAACTCTTCTTGTGAAATATTTCTGGACTTTCTCAATTGAACTTTCTCAGTTCTTTATGATTGTTAAAGTTGTTGCTTGGCAGGGATGTGAATTTTTTTTTTTTTGAGAGAGGAAGGTCCTGCGGTTGCTGCTTAGAGCGGGAGGTTTTCCGTAACTGTCTGATAATCTGTTTTTCTACACTAGGGGTCTTCAAACTTGACAGCTTTAAGACTTGGGGACTTCAACTCCCAGAATTCCTCAGCAAGCAAAGCTGGCTGAGGAATTCTGGGAGTTGAAGTCCATAAATCTGAAAGTTGCCAAGGTTGGAGACCCCCGATTATAGATGGTTAGGTAAACTAATAACAGTGTAAGAGCTACTACACTTGGACTGTTCCAAGTTTTTGGGCGATCGCCAATGGCGATAAATAGTCCGCTATCAAAGGTACTTTTTTAGGAGGCAAAAGGACGTTCTTGTTTTTTTTTCTTTGAAGACATTTCGCTTCTCATGCAAAAAGCTGCTTCAGCTCTGAACTGGATAGTGGAATGGAAGGATTTATATTCCTTGCAGACAGCTGGTCATTTGCATCCTTTTCAGAGGGTCGTTGAAGCACTTGGAAGGTTTATCTCTGTACTCAGAGTGACCTGAGTAGTGCTTCTGCCTTCAGTGGTCTGCAATTTTTTTCTCTGGAAATCCATTCCTACTTCCAACACCATTCCAAGGGTGTTCATCCCAAATTGTATAGCTAAAAGTCTGTAGATACTGTCATCCAGGTCATGGTCCCAAAGGTGCTTTGGGACAACCATGACCTGGATGACTGAGAATCTCTACAGATTCTCGGCTACCAAGTAGAGTACAGGGTAGTCCACAGGATTTTTGCATCTGAGCTCTGGTCATTCAAAGCACTAGCATCATGTCTTGAGAGTGAAATTTTATGTTTTCTTCTGCCATTTCACATTAGTGGAAGATCTATCTTGCCTCTCAAATTGCCTCTTAATCTAAAATGGCCATTTATAAACATTAATAAACAAGCCATTACTAGGGCATAAGTCATAGCAAGTACAAATGGTCGGTTTGCCTTTGTCCAATAGTGAAAAAGCTTAGGACTAGACCTGGGTAGAATTTTAGGTAGGAGACACCAGGTTATTGCGAAGATGGGTCATTTTTCTTGCAGAATATATTTGAACAGCCATTCTTTAAAACCTGTTCATCATTTGCCACGATTAAATCCATGGAAATTTAGCTTAGATCTCATGACTGGAGCCTGTCATAATACTGCATACAGAATGCATTTTGCTCTAGTTGAGCTGATATATTTGCGGTATGATGCATGCTTTGTCTAGTCTGCCAATATTCCTGTGAAATGTATACATTTAATTATCTTCAACAATTTACTTAACTAGGAACATAATTCAGTTTTACACACAGATACTACAATTTGTTTCTCACATGCTAAACCAATCAGAAGCATTGCTTTTTACCATGTCCAGGATATAGAGGATTTTATTAATTACAACCCCTGGTAATTTTCATCTCAGTATTCCCAAACGAAGAGCCACTTTATGGTGTATAGTGAAGTGTATAGTATTTCACCCACATTTAAGTACTTTTAATGTTTGAAAAAGGAAACTGTTGTGTTATTGTTTGTGAAATGTGTCAGATCATTTTTGTTTACAGTTGCTATAGAAAACCTTTTAAAATGTTTCTGGTCATTTAAAATATTCCTAGTCACGGATTCTTTTTCTCTCACATCAACATGTACTTTCAAATATTCAAACAGGATTATTCTCTGCTTCAGTATCTTTTTGTTTGGTGCTGTTCTTGATTCAAGCACTGCATCCATAGACAAGGGCATTTTGATATTCTGCTGAAACAAATTCCTCAGATTCTAAAGTTATATTCTACATGTTTTATGTCACGGTAGTTTGTGCATTCCACTTGTTAAACTTTTTTCAACTTCAGGAATGTTTGGAGTGATATGACTAATTAGCAGCTTTTTATTTGTAGTGCTTACTATGCAATCCTTGTGACATAGTCCATGGACACTTGAAAGAATACATGAATATAAATGCTTTTATTATGATCTTAGGATACAGAATTGTTTATTAATGCAGCACTGTCAACATTAAAAAAATTAGTCCAAAGACAATTACAGAAGAATGTATTCTTTCCAAACCCTGTATCCCACTATAATTTTAACATGCAATTTGAAAGACTTGCATCACACAGATGCTTTTTGCCGAGCTGGCAAGGAGAGTGCTGCATGAAGTTGAGGTATATTGGTTTCTATTATGTACAGTAGTCAGACTTTGTAGGTTGTCTTCCTTTAATTCTAATGAGTGCTAGCTTCGCAAATAATTTTTTGGGTGTCCTAAAACAATCAGTGAGCTCTGGTAAGTGTCTTGTTCCTTGACCATTAAGAATTTAGTGGTTTGGATGCCAGCCATTATATAACATTATGCTGCACTATATGGATATATGCCAGTACAGTCGGGGAGTTTTGGCAGACTAAAGTATGGATCTGCTCATAAAGATCTTTTCTGTGGGAATTTAATTATAGTCAACCTTGAATGATCTTCAAAACTAAGTTTTGCATTTGGGTAGTATTTGGATATAAAATTACCAGGAAATTCCAGGTCTATAGCCTAGATTAAAAAGTTGAAAAAAACATTCTGGAAGAAGACAAAAGCAATGGCTTCTATATTATTTCAAAAGAATTATACAAACTTGCCCTGAAAGTCATAGAAATCAAATTTCACTTGATGGAAAATCAATTTTTGAAATGTTCAAATACTAAAACTTAAAATATTAAGTTAGCAAATCTTGACAAAAGCAACACATGCCCTATACTTCCATGCTCTTTGTGTACTGTATCAGAAATTAATCACTGCCAAATTTATCAGTTTTGTTATATACTTAATGTGAATATTTTCATTATCAATGAGAAATTCATATTTTATAGATATCCTTTTTTGATATAAACTTATCCTACTTATAGGGCTGGAGTGATTCACTTATTCATCAAGAAACAAGAAAATTAGATCTCTGCTTTTGAAAAATTGCTGCTATCTTAAAACGGAAATATAAGAAAGTCTTATTTAAGAAATCTAAACTAGTAACTTGAGAAATGACAGACTCAGAATTGGCAAACTGATGCAAAATATTTATTCCAAGTTAGTTATCTTTTGATGCAGTAGTTTTCCCCTCATACAGACTCAATGTGATAGTCACTTTTTTAAATCTGTAAATAATGTTATCAAAATAATCTTAATCTTTGAAATCCCACAAAAATTTTATATTTTAACAATCCACCCTGAATATCAAGGTTGCAAGAACACAAACAATTCCTATATCCAAATATTTTACAGCTGTATCCCCCCCAAAAGAAAAACCAAACACGCCTGGTTAAGTGATGAAGCTCCCCGAGCCGCCAAAAAGTAAAAAAAGTTCCATGTTATTAGCATTAATTTAACACAATTAGAACTTCCGTAGCCATTTTGTCATTGACAATGATTGTTTTAGCACATTATTGCCGCACAACATTTTGCAATGTGGACGGCAGTATGAGAAGCTTGTGGTTGCCCAACTTAAGTCTTTTGCATCCTGCTCCTGATGAGACTGAACCCATGCCTTGCTCCAGAAGGCGGAATGGATTGTTCTCTATGAAGCACAGAAGGGCAAAATCAAAAAGTAGTAAGCCAATAGCTTTCTTCTTTGGGATATAATTCTTTCCCTTGTGCATGAAGTTTTCAACAATAAAAAACTGAACAGGCTTGAGATAGAATAAACTCTGCTTCATTCGAACCCCAAACATTTATGTGCTGAACTACAAACTGAGTTTGCTGGGTTGGTTTTATATAATGGATTTTTGGTGCCCAACTTCAGGCATCATCGTCAGAAGTTTCACTGCTACTTGTTTCTGTGTCTGAC